GATGGGATATTGGGAAGGAATTGTTCCCTGGGAGGGTGGGCAGGCCCTGGCACAGGGTGCCCAGAGAAGCTGTGGCTGCCCCTGGATCCCTGGCAGTGTCCAAGGCCAGGCTGGACAGGGCTGGGAGCAGCCTGGGACAGTGGGAGGTGTCCTTGGACATGGCAGGGCTGGAATGGGATGAGCTTTAAGGTCCTTCCCAGCCCAAACCATTGTGAGATTCTGTGATCTGCAGTTCTGCTGACACAGGGAAGGGTGACTTGCAGATCTCTTATTTTTTGTTGGGATCACAAGAGAATGAAAAGAAGGATTGAGGCTGTTGCCTTTTCTCTGAGCAATGAGACCAGTTCATGCTGGGAACAGCTAAAGGAGGATTTCTGTGCCATGGCCTCTGCAGGTGGAACCACAACCCTGGGATTTATGTTTGGATCAGATGTTCTTAAAAGTCTTTTCCAACCTCAGTGACTGAGATTTCCATTAAGAGATGTGTATGTGTGTGGCTACATTTGGAAATAATTCTAATGCATAGAAGACATTTAAAAATAATTTAAAATAATTAAAAATTAACTTCTTTCCCAAGCTGGAAATTGAATAACATGCTCATGTTCCTTAAGGCGTCTGACTTAGGAAACCTTTGATGAAAAAGATGCTGCTTCTCCCACTGGGATGCAGTGAAGCTGCTTGAGCTGGTGATTGGTGTATTTTCTTGTTCTATTTTACCATCTGCTTCTCCCAGCTCACCTGAGGAGTGGAAAAGGGACTGGGAAAAGTCTGGTCCCTCCCTGGGGATGGCAGCCTGCTCCTGTGGGCCTCAGGAAAGTTTCATCTCCTCTTTATTCTCCTCTCTGCAGAGCAAACGCGCTGGAGGAGCAGCTGAAGGAGCAGGAGCTGAGGGCTGACCAGACCCTGCTGGAGGAGATCAAGAAGCAGAGGGAGCTGCTCAGCAAAATGGAGAGGGAGAAGAGCATTGAGATCGAGAACCTGCAGGCCAGGTGGGGCTGGGGGTGGCAGCTGTCCTGGAGCCACCCCAGAGCCTGTGCACAGGCAGCCTTGGGGGGACACAGGGAGGCAGGCAGGGAGTTTTTAATTGATGCAAAGTGTGACTGAAGTCATCACAAACCCTGAGTTTTGGTTATTTCCACCTTTGGCTCACAGAGCTAATCTTGGATTCTTTATTTGAGCTGCTCTGATGCATTTTAAGTTCAGCTCCCATCCTTTATCCATGTGCCTGCCCTGCAGCATGGGTGAAGAGTGGATTTATTAATTTTATTAATGCTTCTTCCCATAAATGACTCCTTGGAGTACTTTTAATGCCCAAATGTTTTCCACCTTGATGGAAACGGGCAAATACCTGGGAAAGAAGAATCCTCCAGAAAGGCAGAGTGTCCCAACCAGGGTGTTTTGTGCTGCTGTTGGGTTCCAAAGGAACAGGTGGGCTGGGAGAGATGTCAGTTATTTGACAGGGTTTTTCCATTTTCCAGCTTTCCCAGAATTTTTGCTGTTGTTCGTTCATCCCTTGCAGTCCATGGAAGATGATAACAGTGGGGTTATACCTGGGAATGCAAAGCCAAAGCCCTCTCTGACCCCCTGTTCTGTTGTGTCTGCTGCTGAGGCTTGTCCAGGGACTGGAAAGACCCCTGGAATAAGGAATAGCACTGATGGATGTCAGGATTGGGTGGATGTCCCTCTGTTTCCCCTGGCAGCAGAAATATCTCAGGGTTTGCCTTGAACAGGTGAATCCCTGCTGGCTTCCCTTTGGTTTAATATTCCTGGGGATGTTTTCTCCCACTCGTGGGATGCTGGGATGAGCCTCACACCCATTCCCTTTGCAGGCTGCAGCAGCTGGATGATGAGAACAGCGAGCTGAGGTCCTGTGTGCCCTGTCTGAGAGCCAACATCGAGAGGCTTGAGGAGGTGAGGCCAGGGGGTGCCTGCTTTTGGGGTGAAATTCTGCCTTTGGGATGCATTTCCATGAACATGAGGTTCATTTAATGTAACAATCCAGTTGCTTCCACTTTCCAGTGGCTGCAGACCCCAACTTGGTCAGCACTATCCCACACAGTTATCCTTGCAGTTTCCCACCGTTCAGCCTGGAGGCTGGGAATAAACCCCCGATAAATCTCTCTGTGGCTGCTCCAGAGGGGACTCGTGCCCTCTTGTGGAAGCTGGTCCCTATCCCTGTCCCCATCCCTGTGGCCAGTCCAGTGCAGGGGAGGAGGAGGAGGAGCAGGGATGCTCCATCTCCATGTCCTGGGATTTGTGGGTTGGGTCTTCAAAGATCTGTGTCACCTCCCAGCCCCTCTCACTGTCACCCTGCTCGGGATCCAAGGCTCCTCCTCGGGGGCTCCCTGAGGGATGGGCAAGAGCCTCATCTTTAGGGATAGTGTGAGTTACAGGTGGGGCACCTGGAACAGGGGCTGCATTTTGTCTCTGCCAAGCTTGGGGCAGAATTAAGGTTAAAATTGAACTGAAATCAAACCTCCTTACCCAGCTGAAGGGCCTGAGGCATTTTATCCGTGTTTAATCCCACGGGAAAGCACTGCAGCTCCATCCCTCCTGATGTGGTTTTCAACTGCCAGGACCTTGTGAGCACAGCTGAGGCTGGGGGCAGGAAAACCCCAGTGGCTCTGAGGATAATTTCCCTGCCTTGGTGTCTTTCAGCCATGGGAAGTTGGTTTTGATCCATGCAGAGCCTTTCTCTTCTCCACAGTGAATGGGATGAAGGAGGAGCAAGAGGTGCAGTCACTGCCCCTCCCTGCCCAGGAGAAACCTGGCTCATGAGCTGCTCTCCTGTCCAGTGCCCAAAAATCAGGATTTTGTTGTCAATGTTGCCGTTCCTGCTGGAGTGGTGCCTTTGGTGCTGCTCCATGGAGCAGGAGACCCCTGAGGCAGCATCTGGAGCTCCCCCATGGAGCTGTTCCTCACCCCTGCGTGCCATGGGCCATCCATCACCAGCACTGGAGGGGTCTTGTGGCATTTGTGGAGCTCTGAAAGCCAAACCCTTTGCCATGGGACTGGAAGCTGTGAGCCCAGGGCAGGGGAAGCTGGTCTCAGGCAGAAGGTGCTGCTCTAGGGGCTGTTGGCATCTTCACCTGCATCCCAAACACTGAGCCAAGGCTTTGGGGAGGAGAAGGGAACAGAGCTGGGCTGTGTGTTTTACATCCCAGCTTGAGCTGGTCTATTCCTTCTTGGATCAGCCCTCAATTAAAACCTTTCATATCCGAAACCAAGAGGGAGGTAAAGATCTCAGATTCAGGACTTTGCTGAAATCCACACATAAGGAGCTTTATGATTTAATGTCTCTCCTTGGCCTGGAGCCCCCGTGCTGGCCCCAGTCCCTCCCAGCCCATCCCATGCCAACATCATGCTTCCCAGAAAACGACAAAAACGTGGATATTGGTGTGGATTTACTCTGGAGCCATCCTGCCTCGCTCAGTGCTGCCAAAGCCCGGGCCTGGCACCCTGAGCAGATGAGATCCCAGCAGGCAGAGCCTCCTCGTGTGTCAGGACAGGAGCATTCCCTGCTGAGCCAGGCCTGGCCTCTCACTGTGGCTCCTCCTGTCCCTGCAGGAAAAGCAGAAGCTGCTGGATGAGATCGAGGACCTCACTGTGCAGCTCACAGAGGAGCAGGAGAAAAAGAGGAAGATGGGGGACAAGCTGAGTCAGGAGAGGCACCAGTTCCAAAAGGAGAAGGAGTCGACACAGGAGGTGAGTGGAGTCTGGGCTTGCCACAGCCCTGTCCCCAAAATGTGAGAATGTGGCCTTGGCAGCCTCTCCAGGAATGGGGGACTGGAGCAGTGAGTGCTGCCTGGGCCCAGCAGCTGAGCTGCAGCACCTCAGTCACTTCTGCTGCTCTGAAATTCATCCAGCATTGTCCCTGCAAGGGGGCTGTGCCACCCTGGCCCCTTCCCTTCCTGCCTGGAAGGAGCAGTGGCACATGGGGCCAGCAGGCAGGAGAGGGGGGGTGAGGCTGGGGGTGAGAGCTGAGTGCTTGGGAGCAGGATCACACCCTCCCAGTCCTCCCAGCATCTGTGCCTGCTGATTGCAGCTGGAGGCCCAAGCAGGGCTGGCTGTGGTGGCAGGAAAGGAGCCTTGGGCCCAAAGTGGAATCAGTTGTCACTATAGTGTCACTGAGGGCTCTGGGATGAGCTGGATGGGGAGGGCCCCACATTGCTGGGGGGTCTGTGCTGCTGCAGACCCAAACCCAGCATCTTTGGCCCTCCAGTAAGGTCCTTCCAGGGCTGTGCTCATGTATTGTAGCAGCTCCCCATCTCCTGCTTGCTGGAGGTGTGAGGGAGGAAGAGGAAACCAAGTGCCCCCCAGAAAGGAATTCAGTCATGGAATGCTTTGGGTTGGGAGGCACCTCAAAGCCCATCTCATTCCACCCCCTGCCATGGGCAGGTATTAGTGGTTTTCTTTTTTCCTCTGCCTTTAGTCAGAGACAGGATTGAAGCATGAGAGACAGATTTTCGTGATCAGACTCAGATGTTTATTAATTCTAATCTATAGTACAGTGAGTGCCACAGCAAACAAGCCAAATACGACAAAACAGAGCTGTATCTTGCTTGTTACAAGGTCTTTTAAGGCCTAACTATCTAGTTAAAAGCTAGCATCTATATTATTTATACTTTTGACCCAGTGACCAAACACCTGTGTCCCACACTGTGGCACTTTCTAAGCAATTTTAAAAGTACCACCTAAAACTAAGAAGTAACAAAAAGGAAGAGACAATGCCCCAGAAAATCCATTTTGTCCCATAGCTATTACTGTAGTCTAAAACCCCAAATTCTAAACTCTTCACCATGTGACACTTCTATTCAAACTACACCCAGTGATTCTAACTCCATCACCCAAATTTGGAAGCCTTCTCCAAGGCCTCAAGTCAAAAGCAGTGTTCCCCTGGGGATCAGTGCCTGACAGCACAGAAAGTTCAAAACTCCCAAGCTTCAGGGCTCCAACAGGCAGGGACCCCTTCCACTGTCCCAGATTGCTCCAAGCTCCATCCAGCCCAACCTTGGACACTTCCAGGGACAGGGCAGCCACTGCAGCAATCCTGGAGCTGCTCCCACAGCAGCCACATCCAGAGGATGCTGCTGGATCTGCGGGGCCTGTGGCACTCAGCTGTCCCCTTGCCTTCTCTGCAGCTCATCGAGGACCTCAGGAAGCAGCTGGAGCACCTGCAGCTCTTCAAGCTGGAGGCAGAGCAGCGCAGGGGCCGGAGCAGCAGCATGGGGCTGCAGGAATACAACAGCAGGACACGGGAGACAGAGCTGGAGCAGGAGATCAAGCAGCTCAAGCAGGTAAGGAGGGCTGGGCTGGCAGGGAAGCGATTCCCTGGCACCAAGGGAGGACCAGCAGGGTCCAGGGGCTCTCTCCCAAGGGATGGAGTGGATCCAGGAGCCCAGTGCTGTCTTGCTCTTCTGTCCTGTGCTGTGTCCCGTGGATCTTCCCAGTGTATCTCGTGCTTCCAGAGGTTCTCCAGGCTCTGCTGAGATGGAGGCAGCAGCCCATGTGCTGCTGTTCCAGCACTGTGTGAGCTGTGTTAGGATGAAAGCCCCTGTCTGCCTTGGCCAGGCTCTGAGCACCAGGTGCTCCAGCAGCGTGTGCTTTGTGTGTGTGAACAGGATAACAGGAACCTGAAGGAGCAGAACGATGAACTGAACGGGCAGATCATCAACCTGAGCATCCAGGGAGCCAAGAACCTGTTCTCAGCCTCCTTCTCCGAGTCCCTGGCAGCAGAGATCAGCTCTGTCTCCAGAGATGAGGTATGTACCATGAGGAGCTGCTGGTTCACACTGCACTTTCCTGTGTGCCTCCACCTGGCATGGCCTGGGAGCAGTTGATGTGCCATGTCTGTGGCCCAGCCCATGCCCAAAATTCCCGTGAAAGCTGGCAAGAGCAAGGAAATCCCCACACAATTATTTGTAGAGCTCTCAGGACTTACCCTGCCTCCCAGCCCTCCCTCCTGGGAACAGGGAAGCTGCTCCCTTCCCATTTGTTGATTCTGGCAGCTCTGCTTTGCCTGCCCTGGGACAGCCTTCCCCTTCCAGGACAGAGCAGCCAGCACAGGCTGTGTCCATCTGTCTGGAGCTGTCTTTAAACCCCTGGGAGCCAGGACATTCCCCCTGGAGATCCCAGCTCCTCCAGCACTTGTTCTCCCCGAGCACCAGCCACGGGTGGCTGAGCCTGCACAAGCACTGGAATTAAATCTTTAACACCTCAGGAAGTGGGGAAACACACCTGGATATTTTGGGGATCCCGTGGAGATGTGATGCTCCCTGCTCTCTCCATCAAGCTGAGAGCTTGAAGAAGGACAGGAGTGAGCAGAACCAGCTTTTCCCTGGCCACTTAAACAGGGTCGGGAATATCCCAGTGCAGAGTGAAGAACCAGGGAGACACCCGTGGATGCACAGAGCCATGGGAAGCCCTGGGCAGTGCCAGGCAGTGACCTCTCCCTCCCTTTCCTCCCTCTGCTGCAGCTCATGGAAGCAATCCAGAAGCAAGAGGAGATCAACTTCCGCCTGCAGGATTACATCGACAGGATCATCGTGGCCATCATGGAGACCAACCCCTCCATCCTGGAGGTCAAGTAACGGCAGCCAGGAGCTGCTCTTGTTGGGTGGATTTGGTGCTCTGAGAGGATGAAGAGGGACTCCAAACGTCTTTGCACTTGATGAAGGCACAAGGAAGCCTCAGGTCGGGGGGTGACTGAGCCACGGACCAGGGAAAAGGAAAACCAGCAGCCAGGCTTTGTTGTCTGACTCCGTTATTTTGAAGCCCTCCTGGCTGTGGAGGGGTGAAAGGGAACCTGGAGAAGGAGCTCAGGAAAGGGACACTGCAGGAAGTGCCTGTGGTGCTGGGGACTGTCCCAAAGGCACCGGGCCCCTCCGAGGGATGGAGATGGAATCGACAGCGCTGACTTTGCCCTGCTGCCCCGCCCAGCCCGAGCATCTGCTGTGCCAAAGTGTCCCTGACACACTCACTGGGCAGAGCTGGGAGCGAGGGAAGCGCCTCCCGGACTCGCACAGGGTTGGGGTTTGCTTTTGTTTTAGGGTTTTGGGTTTTTTTTAATTAACTTAATGCAAATGTCCGCATCCAGCTGGCTCAGCCCATCCTTGCCCCGTGCTCCTGCTGGGGCCGGCTGCGTGCAGAGCCCTCGGTGGCTGCAGGGGCAGCCCGGGGCTGTTGGGGACAGGGCGTGAGCACACTCGGTCACCCGCCTCCTTATTTATTTTTGCTGTCTGTGGCTCAGTACTGTCGGCTCGTCTCGGCATCCCGGCTCCACTCTCTCCTCCTCCCTCCTCCTCCTGCCGGGCTGTGCCGCTGAGGTGGCTCCTGGGGGAGCTGTCACTCTGTCACTCTGTCACTCGTCCCCAGCTGGGGACACGCACGCGGGCTCTGTCTGGCACCGGGACAAGGCTGCAGCTCCTCAGCCCGGTCCTGGCCTCTCCTCGTCCCAGCGTGGGACACGCAGCGTTTGGGAGCTGCAGAGGAGAGGCCTGAGCTCCTCACCTGACCTCCCGAAGTCCCTGGCCTGGGGACAGTGGCCTGTGCCATTCCCAGCCGGAGCAGGGCTCTGCTGGTGAAAGCTGCAGCCCTGGAGGGAGAGCCTGCCCGGCTGCCTGGGCTGGGGCAGGGGCTGCAGGAGCCCTGCTCATTCCTCATCCCTGGCACTGGCCCGGGCTGGGATCTCTGTGCTGGTGGGGAGAGGAGCTGGAGAACACCACGGCAGCTCCTGGGAAACAAAAGCCATGTTTACATCAGACAGCTCTGGGCTTGCTGGCACAGCGTGACCCCGGGAGTGGCCACTGTCCCCCCCCTGCTCCTCCGGGCTCCCGGGAGCAGCCAGCGGAATCCCAGGGATCCAGCGGTTCCTCTTCCTGCTTGGCAGGTTTTGGGAATGCCAGAACGGCCTGCAAGCAGAAGCCACAGCAATCCCGGGGGGTGCCTGCTCCTCCCCAAGCCCCTTCCAGCCCTCGGGGTGACCCTGCCCGGGGACACACGGCCGCTGTCACCGCCTTATCCCGGGGGACACGGCCACGTCACCTCTGGGTGCTCATCCCTGCGGGCAGCAGGGTCGGGGTGAGCCCCAAACCAGCTCCTGCACCCCAGCCCTCCCTGCCTCCCTCCCTGCCCCGAGGCCGCAGGAAGAAGCCACGTTCTGTACATTTCCAGAGAAGCTTTGGGTGTAAATCAGTGTATACTTGGAGAGGGAAAATTTTTCTATCTTGTAGAGTAGGTATTTTTATAGAATGAAGGTTGATCCATTTTTTTAATACTTTAAAAGAAGAGAGAAATGTATCTGTGTATACACAAAAGCATATATATATATATGTATAAATATATAAATATTGGAGATCTGCCTTTCTCGACTTGGGATCCCGGATCCCCAGGTCTCAAACAATCGTTTGTTTTTTCCTGTCGCTCTCACAGAGGTACTGTAACTGTAAATAAGCACCGGGAAAAAAAAAAAAGTTTTAAGCAAACAAAAAGCACTGACTTGCACATTCACCATGCTTTAAAGTCCCTATGGAGAGAGAAAAACAAAAACAAAACTAAAACTGTACATCCTGAAAATGTTCCTCTTTCCCGACCGATATGTGAAGGAAGTCCCCCAAAAAAGAGGCAAAAATGGTATTGTCTTAACTGATGTATCAATTCTTGTCGGATTAAAAGCTGTTACTATTCCTGTCAGGGTGATGGAGACTTTTTTTCCACAGAGCAGCATCCTGAGCATCCGAGTGCTGGATTGGGCATCCCAAATATCCAAGGACTGGATGGAGTGGAAATGCTCCTGCACCAAGGATTTTGGGAGGATGATGAGGATGAGGGAGGCTGGACTTGGCTGAAATGTCCTGATTTTGGGAGGATGAAGATGAGGGCGAGGGAGGCTGGACCCCGCTGATTCCAGAGGGATCCAAAACCTCCCGAGCCAGCCAAGCTGTGTGGGTGGGAATGGGGGAATTCCCCCATTCACCTTCCTGGAGGATGCAGGTGGGGTGAGGGACCCTCGGAGCTGCCCAGGGACGGGGCAGGCTGGGACAGGGGCTCCTGAGTCTGCTCCAGGCAGGAACACGGAGCTTTCCCTTCCCTCTGCACCGGGACAACCCCCTCGGAGCACTCGGCTGTTCTGAACTGCTCCAAAAATCCCTTAAACGCCATCACCTCCCTGCTAAGCTGCTCCCCACCCCTCTAAGCCTCCTCCACCCCTCCCCGCCCCTTTAAGCTGCCCCAAAGGCTCTGAACGTGCAAAATCCCCTCCCAGCTCCTGCCGTGCCTCCGGATGGCTCCAGACTGTTCCTCTGAACTGCTCCGAGCAGCCCTGGAGCTGCAGCAAAGAGCTGGGGAAAGGCTCTGACACACCCTGAGAGCTCTGAAACCCCCCAGATTGCTTCACACTGCTCAGAGCAGCACTGAGGCTCCAAAACATCCCCAGAGCTGCTCCAAAACATCTCAGAGCTGTCCCAAAACCTCCCTGACATGGTCCAAAATGTCCCTGATATGCTCTAAGCATCCCTGAGCTGCATAAAACGTCCCAGAGGTGCCTAAAAACATTCCAGAGCTCCTCCAAAACATCCCTGACATGCTCTAAAACTGTCCCTGAGTTGCCCTAAACTGTCCCTGAGCTGCTGCAAACCATCCCTGAGCATCTGTAAATCATCTCTGTAGCATTCCCAATTGCTCTACACCCTCCAAGCAGCTCTATAGTGCACCAAAAATTTCCCTAAATCCCTCTAAGACATCCTTTTAAAAATTCCTCTGAAATCTCAACCTCCAACATCTCGAAACTGCTCTAGAAATGGGATAAGTAAATAGCTCTGGGGTATTTCTGTGGTGCTGGGTTGCTTCAAGGAGCTGTAAATCACCTTTGAGCAGCTCAGGCTCTGGAAGGACAGAGCTCTGGCCATTACTGAACCACTTGAACTGCTCAAACAGCTCTTGTGCTCCTCCAACCAGCCCTGAAAGGCACCAAGATGCTCAAACTGCCTCGAAGTAGCACTTGAAGTCCTCTAAACTCTTCTAAAACTCCTCGAAACAGCTGAAAACGGATCATAGAAAAGATCTCGTGGCACCTCTGAAGCTCTCCAAGCCTCCTCTGTGCAGCTGTGAAACTCCTCGAGTGCCCCAACAGCCTCCAAAAAGCCCTTGAAACCCCTCTGGACCTTCCTCATGTGCTTCTCAACAGGTTTAAAAGTTTTTAATAACATCTCTAAACTCAGTTTGCAACCAGCCTAAACCCCCTCTGAATGACATCAGGGGGGCACAGGCAACCCTAAAACAACTCCAAAGCTTCTCGAAAACTCATAGAAAATTAATCAGAGCTGCTCCAAAGCACTCCAGCTCTTCTGCACCTCCTCTGAAAAGGGCTCTGAATGGCTTAAAACCTTTTCCAGCCTTTTCAAAACTGCTCCAGAAAACTCCTAAATCTCTGATGGTCTCTGCATTCTTCAGAGCAGCTCCAGAGCTGATCCCAGCCCAGCTCAGCTCCCAACTCAGGGACTGAGCACTGGGACAAACCTCGAGTCCTGGGGTCAGGTCTGGGCCCCTCGTGACAAAACAGACCCGGAGGGGCTGGAGCGTGTCCAGGG